AAATTTGGTTACATCAATCAATGTATATTTTTAGAATATTGTGTTTATTGGATTTTGCTTGAGATTGTACGATCGCTTTTCATTTTGAAGAATCGAAGAAAAAAACATCACTTATTAAATCAATTAATATTTTACTAAACATGATCTTAATCATGGTGAATTGACAATGTCACATGATTTTCGAAACTTTTTTGGGTGGCGATTTTACCCCGGTCGAATTATCTTAATGCCGGCCAAATTAAACGGTTAGACGATTAAACAATTAAGAAAAATTTTAGGCGGTTCCAATCCCTAATCGCTATAGGGATTATACTGATTTTAATATGACACAGATTTTAAATTTAACGCACAAAATCTATATATATATACCCATTCAATTTATAAACAACACGGATCAATCCGGAGAATCCAAAAAGCAAAAAAGATGTTTGAGGCACTGCTCAAACCTTAATCTAAAACATAAATTTAAGTGCATAAATGAAATTGTATAACCGCACTTGTTCTCTTAATACAGTAATAGGCTCTTTGCCTTTCGAGATTGCATATCCAGAAAAAGACTTCATATAGTTAAAAGAAATTGCTACGTACCATGCTACCAACTACGATTGCTATTCAATCACATGATTGGAAAGATTTCCGGTCATTTATGTCAGAAGCATCTCTCACGTTAGAGTAAGATAACTTCAATTCATCACAAATTTTTAATTTTTATGTAATTTATATATCTGATAAACAATGCATGGTGTAGTTTTTTTGAATGTCACATCATTTACTATAAGGAGCTTTGACATGTGATTATCCAAAATAAATTAAAGCATGCATATTTACAAAAAATCTAACGCTAAGCTAGAATTCACAAAAAACGTTCGAAATACAAAATCAAGGACATAAAGTCAAAGTTTTCCTTGATCAATTTATGTTAACAATGCCACCTTTTAGAACCACTCGGAATATTCAACTTGTAGTTTGGGTGGTGATTCTGATTGTTGCCTGTTATGTCATAATAGTGGTCGAAGCGTCTCCTGAGCATAATTCACCAGGAGTCTGCAATCAAACTATTAACGAAGCTAATGTACGAACAGAAAGTGGTGACTCAAGTATTCGCAAAGACGATAATATTACCGAAGAACAACAAACGAATGAATTGCAGGAACTTATTCGCGGCATATTATATACTGCGTTTCTCGTTGTCAAGTTTATTTTCACTTCGATATTCTCAATAATTTATCAAGTTCTAAGGCCATTCATTTATATAATTAATCAAGTTTACTATACATTCTTCGTCGTACCATTCAGTTTTATAAAGTTAGCATTTATTACTGTTTACCCAGTGTTTACATTTTTGACAGTTGCAGCATTACTTGGGCTTTGTTTTGGAGGCACAGCGGGATGGATTTCTGAAGTTATTGTAGGAGTGTTGACTACTCCTATTAATGATGAACCAATAACAAACGAAGTTGAAAATAAGAAACGCGCAGCAAAAATAAAGAAACGCGCAGCCGCTCTGGCACATTTGAAGGCCAGAAATGGTGGGAAAATTCCAGAAGAATATTATGGTCGATTTGTGGCCAACGGCCGTCCAGGTGTGAGGAGGAAGGGATCTAACATATCTAACATATCTAACATATCTAACATGTCTAGCAGGATAGAAGGCTATGAGAAAGGTGAATATGAGAATAGTTATAAGGGATATTCTAGTGCTGGAGTAGGTGATTGATTAACGTAACAGAGAATTCGGATCCCTTCAATTTAGAGCAAAATGCAATTTTCTTGTAAACATTTTTTTTTTTTATTATTTTTGTTTTCACCAACACAATATTATACATAATTTCATAAAATTTAATAAAAATCAAATTCATGAAACATCAGTCTCAATCAGATATGAGCTTGTTTTTATCTGAATCAATTTTGAATACTTTTGTCGGTGCTTCGGGATTATAATATCCATATATCGCCCAATCACCTTTTTCACCCATTTTACGTTGAAAAACAACATATTGAATAATATTTTTGATCTCTTTTGGATCCCCAGAAATTAGCCTTCCTTCTCTATCAAACACTACAATGCACTAACAAGTATATGAGTATTACAAGTAATATGTAAGGTATAAAAGCGAATTGTGTATTAAAATTCATGTTCATTGTAAACTTACTTGCTTAGTATGTAATTTGATTATCAATTGAGCCAAACCAGTATCATAATAACGAATACATTGGTATTTGGGTCATCAATTAGTCCATATTTCCAATAGTATTTATTTCCATACTCTTCACGTGCTTTTAATTCGAATTTTAATCTCTAATTGCTCAAAGAAAGGTGTGGAAGGATATGATAATGAGAACATTAAAAAAAGTATAATAATCGTACATATTACGTAATACGTACATAGTACATTTTGTCTAAGACGATAGTTTTCAACGCTTTTAAATCTCCACTAACAATTATACTCGAATAAATTCATTATATCAAAAGAATCTATAATATCCATCATAGATCAACGAATAAAATCTTACTCGGCAAAATTTTGATTTAGGTCAGTATACATTTTTAAAGCTTTCATTTTGAATTCATCATAATATTTGACACGTTCAAAGAATCCCATACTTTGAGTTATTTTTATCCAACTAACGAAGAGGATTGCGTTGAATATAACAAGAGAATATAAAATTAATATATGAACCACAAATTATAAGATTACCATGCCCAATTTAAAATACTATATCTAAAATCCTCTCGTAAGACACGGTAAAAATCTTTGGTAAAAATCGACGGACGTTTATTAATTCGACAATACGGATCTTAAATATATTTAAAAAAAGAAACAGTTGAATTTTTTTGTCTTGCACAAATAATGAAGAAGTTATTTACCCAAGATGCCTAGATCAACGTATTGATAGTAATAACGCATTCGGTGGGGCTGTGTACGACTCAACATAGTTTCTGAATGCTGTTCAATATTTGCTAACTTTTTTCATTACTCTCGTAATCACGATAAATTTTACAGATAATCATTTGTGAAACGTTTAATTTATTTATTGCACGGGCACTTTTGCAGTAACGTGATGTGGTTTGCTTTTCTAGCCTCTTCTATAATCACAAATCCATATAATTATTAATTATATCTCTATATAAGCACAATTGGCTTATAATTACTGTCACAGCCTTGATTTTCTTAACTACTAAATCAAATTAGTTAAAATTTTTACGTTTAATATAAAAAGATTTTTTAAATAAATGGTAAATTTATATTATTCAACAACTCTTCTTGACAATCGGATTAATTGTTTTCGACTGCAAATTTAAAGACTCAAGACCAAGAAGTTCGAACCACCTGTTTTTTTTTGTATACAAACTGTTATCAGCAAAGTCTTTAAACATAATACACCAAGGTATGGGCATTATATATGAAATCAATGAAAAATTGGTTTATTCTGATTCTATATGCCTGTATAATTAAAAAAAATATATATATATTAATCTTAGATAGATGGTTGCTGAGATACTTTCGCACTAAAATTGATGATTTGATTCTACAGTATATGAATGTATAATTGAAATAAAATTTTTT